AGCTCTTGGCTCTGCTGCCAATGCTCTGATCATAGCTATACCACTTAATTTGATGGTTTGGTTTCTCCAGTTTCAGATACACCCATAAAAATCATCTTCATCATTTCTTATTTCCATCTTCATGACCATCAAGAAACCCTGGCTGAGAGCAAGGCTCAGCTTTGTTAGTCATTGTTCAAGCCTCAGACCCAGAGCACTTGCTCCAAGGAGAAGGAAGGGAATGAGGAAGGGAGTAGGAAGGTGAACGAGGGCACTGTATGATGTGCCCAGAGTCACAGTGCTTTTGCTGAGGTTGAGATGAGCATCCAGGCTTCATTATCTGGACCTCCCTCCCCAGCAGAGCCAAAGAACCTCCTGCAGAATAAGACTCCATATAGTCAAAGGAATAAACCCCCAAAACAAGAAGCATTAGCTTTATATTTTTCCTTTAATATTTTCCCTTGGAAATGTGCAGGTGTGACTGCTGGGCTTGATCCACTTGCCCTGGGCTGGGCGTGCAGGCAGCTGTGGCTTTCAGATGGAGATAAGCTGTTCTGTGTTACAGCACTTGCATTGCTGTACTGCTCGGGGAGCAGGAAGAAAACTTCTTTGAAGTAAGCCACTGACCTGGAAATGATTTGAGATGCCAGCTCTGTTGCCCCTTTCTTACCAGGGGTGAAGATACAGGGCCAGCTGTGCTTCAGCTGCAGCCTCACCTCCCCATCTGCTGGTTATTGCACAGCCCTCTCCCTGGGCAGAGGGCTAAGGTGGTGTTCGTGTACTTAGCCTGGCCATCAGCTGTTCAGCTTCTGCTTTCTTAAGGTCCTTTGGGAAAACAGGCTCTCCAGCTGTGTATCCACCTTTTCCAGAAGAGAGAGATCAGCTCAGGAGTGATGGCAATCAAATCTGCATCCAACAGAGCCACACTTCACTTCCCAGCTGCCACCCCTGGCTCCCTGGCTCCTGTCCCTATTGGTACCAAGGAGTACAGAGGCAGGAAATCCATCAGTGGCTTGAAACCACTGTGTTTATATATATCTGTGTGTATATACATATATACATATATTCCTGCTGGGAACATCTGCTCCTGGTAGACATCTCCCTTTCCAATTTCCTGGAGATCATAAGGAGGGCCAAAAGGGTGAGAACGCCCATCCAAACTCTTGTTTCCCTCACCCAGGGAAGTCTATGGGCTTTGTTGATTTTAACTTCCCACTTTATGTTAATGCAAGTTATAATCGTGGTTTCTATATGAGTAGGTGCTGTGAATTTTCTCAAGCAGCAGCAACTTTCCCATAAAAACTACAGGACATAGAAATGTTCTGTATCTAGGGGAGATGTGCAAGCGATGGTCCATGTGCAGAGAACGAGAAATTCTGGAAGTAAATGATGTCTGCCTGATTAGTCTGGCTTGCAAATAAGTGATGAGAAATCGCTTCCAAGAATGTTCCTGGTTTCTACAGCATGAAGAAAGTGATGGGGCCAAATCCCTAGAAGCATTCAAGGACAGGTTGGACGGGGCTTTGAGCAAAATAGTCTAGTGATAGGTGTCTCTGCCCATTTCAAGGGGTTTGGAACTAGAGAACCTTTAAGGTCCCTTCCAACCCAAACCATTCTATGATTCCATGGTCCTGTAGCATATTCTTTAATATTTCCCGAAAACCTTCTTTTGTTGAAACAATTCCTCTGACTTCATGAACATGCTTTGATCAGCCTCAGATGACTGAGCAGGACCACTGGTTTCTCCTTGCAAGAGGAGAAAGCTCGCTATTGGAGAGAAGATGATTTCTAGTGGCAAACCAGGTCAGTGGATGCCTCTGCATCGCTCATTCAGATGCCCACCACCATCTAAAGACCACTAAGCAAAGACATTAAGTCTCTGGTCAACACGAGCAGTGAGGTTCACCAACCGTGATTAAAAAAAAAACACCTCCTTCTTGTTTTTCAGAGTTAGCAGTTCTGTGACCTGGGTGTATTTGCATGACTCACAGGGTGGCTCAAGAGAGAAAAGGAACCACATGCAGGGAGGCAATGAGGAACTTCTTGAGCCACTGCTGCCACCAAAAACACTTAACATGAAACTCCGAACTCAGTCACCCGCTTCCCTATTTTCCTTTCGAAGACTGACAAAAGTGGAGAAGCAGCAAGTCAGTTGTTAATAAGCAATTTATGTCTCAGCCAGTATGAACCAGTCTAGGCAGCGTGACTGGGGTTTGTCATTACAAGAGCTGCGAGGGGGGGGAGTGATGTGGGGGATTTACAGATCAGCCCGCACATTTTTGGATAATCTGTGGACTGCCTTTATGTTCTGTATAAATAATAATAATTAAAAGCGGATGTAACTAATTGGAATCCATTCCACAGCAGTAACATGATCCATCTTATTGCCAATCCCCTGAGTCACTGTGTCCTCCAGATGATTATTTTTCTGGTTTTCCCTAATAAAATCTGAATGCTACCTTTCCCAGTGCTGGTGGATCCAGTGTGGGTTTGTGCTGCCAGGGCATTTGAAACCCTCTTCTAGCCTGGACACAATTAGCCTGGTTAGCTCTGCACCAAGATTTGCCCTGTATTTCATTGGAGAGCTACACACTTTTAAACTTAAAATCCCCTCCAACATCCACCAGCCTGGTGTTAATCCAGTTGTGTTATTGCCTATTATTTGCCCAATTTATTTTAAGTTAAAAACGGCAATGGGCATCCCATTTCTTCTGAACAACCTTACTGTGCCTTGGTTTGCACTGTAACCTCTATTTGGGATGACGGTTCCCTTCGTTGACCTCCTGGGAAGAGCATGTTGTTCCCGGGTTTGGGGGCCCCAAGGGAAGGCAAAGCCCAAAAAAGGGCTCTACAGCACTAGCACAGCAGCACAGCCAGCTGTGGGGAACATCTTCTCCCTGCACATGTGACATGGTCAGTCTTCTCCCCTCCTGGGAACAGCAGTCCTGCCACTGCCACCCCAGCTCTGGGAGGGAAGCTCTTCTCCAGACTCATTCCCAGGCTCCCAAGGGTCATTACTGCCTTTCAGCTCCCTTCCAGAATTAGAGATGGAGAAAGTATGGAGAGAAAGTATGGGGAGAAAAAGTCCACTTTGTCTGGGAGAGAAGCCTTCTAGCTGGATTGAAACCTCCCTCAAACCAGAATGGGGCTTCTTGTGGGCTTCCAAAGGGCTTGGATGAAAGCCACACTCCTGTAGAGGAAGAACACCACCTTTTATTTTCCTTTTTTCTTTTTTTTTCCTCCTTTTTTTTAGTTAGATTTTTATAGGTTCTGTGCTGCTTACTTTGGCGTGGCACTGAAATTCTCCCTTGGTTCAACTGCCTTCAGGATATGCCCAGAAGGTGACTGTTGGTCAGTAGGATTTCTGCATGCTCTGGAAATCAGTTGTTTAAGTGTTTTCCTCAGTAGACAACCAGCAAACCTTGAAGGCCCTGATTAGCTGTACCTGGGGATGCTCTGGTCTCCTTACTTATGTTGCAACTCTGGCCCCATCTCCTGTTCCTCCTGACTTTTTGGATAGCCCTAGACCTGTTTCCATCACTTGCCACAGCTACTGATGGACACTGACCAGCACCCTGCTCAGACGCTGAAGGATGGGCTGAGAGAGCACTGTCTGTGCTGGGGCCACCCTCAGCATCCAGCTAATCCTTCTCCATGGAGGGTTATATCTGCTCCCCGATGCATTCCTCCACCACAGGGAACGTGCTGCACGTTCATAGAGTCATAGAATAGGTTGGGTTGGGAGGGACAGTTAAAGGCACCGAGTTCCAACCCCCTGCCATGGGCAGGGACACCTTCCACTAGACCAGGCTGCTGAGAGCCCCATCCAACCTGGCCTTGAACACTTCCAGGGATGAGGCATCCATAGCTTCTCTGGGCAGCCTGTGCCAGCACCTCACCACCCCTGTTGTAAAAACATTCTTCTGTATATCTGTCTGATACCAGAGAACAAGAAAAACAAAACAAACAAAAATGCCACCCCAAGATTTCATGGTGCTGAGCACCCATCCTGCTGCAATTTCTCTGTGCTCTCAGCCATGGGACAATTGAGCTCCATCCAACCAAAACCACCAAGGGAACAGAAACCACTGCTGTCCCATGGATTGGGTGGACACAGGTGGGGGGCACAGGAGGGTTTGAGGGCACAGGGGTGAGGGGGTGCAGGAGGGTGTGGGGGCACAGGGGCATGCAGGGGCACAGGAGTGTGTGGGGACATAGGGGATTTGAGGGCACAGGAGGCTCTAGGGGCACAGGGTTTTAGGGACACGGGGGCTCTGGGGACACAGGATGGTTGTGGCCCACAGGGGATGCAGAGCCACAGGATGGTTCAGGGGCACAGGGTTGTGGGGACACAGGAGGCTGTGGAGGCACAGGGTAGTTTGTGCCCCCAGGGGCTGTGAGGCTACAGGGTGGTTTAGGGGCACAGGGGGCTGTGGGGGCACAGGATGACTTGGAGACACAGGGGGTTTGGGATCACAGGGGCTGTGGGGGCACAGGACGGCTTGGTGGTACAGGATGTTTTTGAGGGCACAGAATGTTCGGGGGGAGCACAGGATGGTTTGTGCCCACATGGGCTGTGGGGACACGGCGCCTGTTGGGGGCACAGGGCGTTTGAGGGCGCAGGGGCTGTGGGGGCAGAGGACGGTCCGGTCCGGCAGGGTCGGTGGGGGCACGGGACATTTTGAGGGGCAGAGGACGGCTCGGTCCGGCAGGGTCAGTGGGGGCACGGGACATTTTGAGGGGCAGAGGACGGTTCGGTCCGGCAGGGTCGGTGGGGGCACGGGATACTTTGGGGGCCACGGGATATTTCGGGGGCACGCGAGGGCGCCCTCGCTCGCCGCGCCGCGCGGGCGGTGACGCCACGGCCGCCGCCCCGCCCCGGCCCCGCCGCGCCGCCCCCACGTGGCGCCGCCCGGCCGGCAGAGCCCGGCGGCCCCGCAGGCAGGTGGGAGCGCGGCGGGCGGCAGGGCCCCGCCCCGCCCGGCCCCGGCCCCGGCTCGGCCCGGCCCGGCCCGGCCCCCGCCATGGGCGCCCGGCCGCCGCCGGCCCCGCGCCCCGCCGCCTGAGGCAGCGCGGCTGCACGGGCAGCGCCTCGCCCGCAGCCCTCCCCCCCCGGCCCCGCCACCATGGGGGCCGCCGAGGCGACCCGGAGCGCCGCCGGGTTCGCCCGTGTCCTCACGGTGAGTGTGTTTGTGTGTGTGTGTATGTGTGTGTGTGCGGGGCGAGGGGGGCTCGGTGCGAGGCTGCGCCGCCGCGCAGCATCCGCGTGTCCGCGGGGTGGGTGGGGACGTGCTGCAGTGCGGGGGCAGGTGGGCAGGGGATGGTGGATCTGGGTGTCCTGCGGCACCCCCTGCGCGCCGGGGGGATGTGCGGGGCTCCCCTGTGCCTTCTCCGCCGTGTGCTGCCCACCCCAGTCCCGCAGCCCCAGGTCCTGGCAGGGGACGCTGCCTGGGTGCGATATTCCTTCCCTGCGATATCCATCCTTCCCATCCCCATGTTAGCGCAGGCGGAGGCATCCTCCATCCAGGGCTGTGCCGCACAGCCAGGGCTGAGCGGATCCCTGCTCTGCCCTCTGTCCCGCTCCTGGAGCTCGGCACTGGGCAGGGATCCATCCATCCATTCATCCATCCATCCACCCATCCGTCCTAGCTGCTTTTCTTGCCACCCTTTGGCCAGGCAGCAAAACTCCCCGTTGCGAGTGGCAGGCAGCTGCCTCGATTTATCAGGGATATGTTTTTCCGGCCGCTTCACCTCCGTATCTACCTTCCCAGGTACGGCCCTTCCCAATCAGCGCTTTAGGGCTACATCCCGTCTATTTTGGGGAGAGATGGTAATTCGGTGTGTCAGGCAGACGCCGCAGCTGCTGCGGCTGAGTTGTGTAACCGAGTAGAGAGCACTTGCTCTTGAACTCAAGGTGGATCTGAGCAAGCTGGCGCTGGCTCGACAGGAATCCGAGTAAACAACAAATAATCTGAAGCTGGAAGGGCATTAGCTGGGAAACAGCGTCTGAAGGCAAAGGGTAACCTGGGGCAGCGGCGGAGCAGACGGGTCCGTGCTCGGTGCCGGCCGTGCGCTCCCGAGCGCCGGGTTCCCGCTGGGAGAGGCGAGTGCTGTCTGGAAGATGAGATGCTGATGGGGAGCTTCAGATATGCAGCTCCAGCTCGGATCCTGGAGGTCAGTTGGGAACGACGGGTATAGAGGGAGGAAAAAGGGTGATGTAAAGGTGTGGGGAAATAAAATTCTGGAGAAAAAAGTGAGACTCCGAGTAAACACAGCTGTATATTATTTGTGTGTTCTCACACTTCTGTGTGTGTATGAGCAAATGAGCTATTCCCATTTGCTTGTGAGCTGGCAGGGTGCTTTCAGGGTTTTCATCCAATATCTTCAACAATTTGGGCATCTCCCTTTGGCCCAACAAGGAGTTAATGTCTTCCCAGCCTGAGGGAAGTGTGTTCTAATCCATAGCTGGTGGTTCTTCTACTGGTGCAGCAAACCCGAATCCTTCTGGCTGCTTGTTTTTGGAGCGGTAGTGATTGTGTGGGGCTGGTGTTGGCCGTGGTTTCACTTGTTTGGTGGAATTTTTTGGGCACCCACCAGCTGCTGCAAGGTGGTTTTCACCATCGCCCCCACTGCCCTCACCTGCAACCAGCACGATGTCACCTTGTTTCAACTTGGGGCTTTTGGAAACCTGGGGGATTTCATCCTGTTGGAGGAAAACCATGGCTGGCAGGGATGTTGGCGAGCTTGGGTCTGCGCTGGCTGAAGGGGTGGCTGCTGGGTTTTCCTTCATGGGGACCAGATGTTGCAGTGCTGCTGTTCTGGCTCGCTCATCTGCCTGCGTTTCACTCTTGAGATGTAGTAAAGGAACTGCTGAGCGGTGACTCCCGGACCCTGGTTTCACAAACCCAAAACCAGCTGAAATAGCTGGTTGTGTTGCAAGATGCAGAAACTTGCTTTTCTCTTCGATACTCTCCTCACAGGAACTTTTTTTTTGGTCTGAGTAACTTGATCCTTTTTACTGAGAGTGGGGCAGGAGATGGACTTCTCCTGTCTGCCAAGTTACCGTAAAACTTGCAGACCAGTTTATTTGTCTTTCTGGGGTTTTTATATATTTTTTTTACTTTAATGTTGCAAGCGCTTTCCCGGTGCTGTCGGCAAAGGGTGCAGCTGATCTTCGGGAAGGGTGGGGGGCAGTGCAGCTCATACCCAACCTATGCCAAGGCATCACCATGGAGCCAGCTGCTGTTTCTACCAAATTTTGTTGGTTTTGCTTGGAAATCACTCCCAGAGTATCAGTTTAGCACTGTTGGTCCCTGCGCTCACTTACAGCTCTACTCCTTTTCTTCTCTACTGGGATCAAGTGCCTTAGCTGCCTTTTGTCTATTTTATTTTATTTTATTTTATTTTTACTTTAGTTTTAGGTTTATTGCTCTGTTCCCGGAGGACTGGCAGCAGGGCACCACTATACACAACATAAGATTACAACAGTCTCGGTGTCACAGCATTGCAGGACACAAATTTCAGGACAGAAAGTTGATTCACCAGCTTTTTGCTGGTGCTTTGACTCACCAGGCAGGTTTGGGTCCTGAGTGAGATGTGTATTCATAGAATGGCTTGTGCTGGATGGGGGCCTTAAAGATCACCTAGTTCCAACCCCTCTGCCATGGGCAGGAATGCCAACCTCTAGACCAGGTTACTCAGGTGTTCTCAGGAGCGTCCTCTGGGCAAGTGCCCAGGCAGCTTGTGGACCCCCAAAAGCTCTTTACTGTGCAGGTTGCCCACTGGGTCCCCCTGCAGCATGCAGTTATTGAAAGAGGGGGATGGAGACACGGCACAGAGGCGACCACTGAGGTGGAGTCCTCAAGCTGGGCGGTGGTGAGGTGGGTTGTGCCCTTGCCAGCTGTGGCATGCTGCTGCCTTGAGGGGTTGTTTGCAGCTGAACATGAAGGTCCCTTTGCCTGAGGGTTTCTGGATGTGGGGAGATGAGAATGGTAGTGCCCCTCAGCCCTCTCCTCATACCATAAAACCTTCATGTGTTGAAACAGGTGAAGATGGCCGGGAAGTGTTTTTGCCTGTGCACTGCAGGGTGTTGGTGCTGAGTTAGGGATGCTCTTTGGGATTATGGCTGCCCTGTCCAACTTGACCCTTTCGGAAAGGGACCCCTGTCCCTTTTAACCCTTCATTGTTAAGAGCTGCTCCTGCCTCGGGCACGGGGTGCATCACTGAAACTGCTGAAACCAAATCTGCTGCATAGTGTTGTCTTGCACCAATTCCTGTTTCCCCTGGTTTTTTTGTTACCTTATACGCTTCCTTTGGTACCGGAGTAAATGAACTGAAATGCAGTGGCTCAGCCGAGCTCGCTTTGTTACTTGGTTGCTTTTTTCACTGGCACTGGTGTTGTCAGCCAGAAAGGTCTTGTTCTGTGTGCTAGTGGGCAGCCCTGAGGGTGACGGAACAAACCAACAGACACCCCTTTTTGCTGAAGGTGTCCTGCTCCTGGCTTTTGCTTGCAGAGAACCAAGGGGTGCAAAACCCGAGCAGCTGAATTATTTCAGAGACCAGAAATGCCAATCTGAATAAATAGCAGATGCACGAAGCTGCTTAGCCTTCCCCCACTGGAACTCGCTGTTCTCCCTAAGCTTGGACGTGCATGTGCAGCTGAAGATCTTGAGATGTTCAAAAATACCAGCACTGCTTTGCTTGAGATAGGGTTTAAAAAAAGCCCAATCCAAACCTGGTGCAGTTACAGGCTTTAGTTACCCGGGTGAGTGATGGGAAGATGCTGGAGATGGGAAAAACAGGGAGAGCAGGAGGGAACCCATGGCACATGCTTGTAGCAGGGCTGTCAGTGGGTTTCCCGAGGTCTGGCTTGATGCTGAGGGAGAAATCAGTGTCTGAGACAGCAGTACACAGCTCACCCCTGGTGAAACAGGAGAGCCGCTGCCTGTCCTGCCTCTCCCAACAACCTGTCCCGTTCAACGCTGGCACAGGAGGAGGGTGAGTAACACAGGTGACCCCCCACGCCACCTCGAGAGGCTATATTGCTAATTCAGGGATGCGTCATGGAGATTACAGGGGAGGGTGGCAGATTCCCTTAGAGCCAGCTAAGCGCTTTGTTAAATCATGTCTTAGGGGAGGGGAAAAATAAAATGCATCCTGTAAGCCTTTGCTGCCTGGCAGGGCAGCCCCGCTTTTTAATTTGACGTGCTGTAATTAGTCTGGCCGCTGCAGGATCCTCGTCAGCTCCTGCGGGCTTGCCTGCTTCTGCCTGCTCTGTAATTGCTGCTTCAGGGGGAGAAAGCTAACGAAATAAAAAAAAAAATAAAATAAAAATATGAAGTGTTTTGTACAAATCCCAAGCTGTAAATTATTTAGCAGGTGAAACAGGAATGTGCCGTGTGTTTCCAGGAAGAGAGAGACTGCACCAAAAAATGACGCGGCGCGGCTTGCAGCTCTGCCGCGATGTGCCTTCTGCAGAGTCATGTTGTTGGGAGCCTTGTTTTATTTTTTCTTCCTTCTGAATATATTCTTGTTGGCTGATAGCCCAGAATAGGTAGCAGAGCGGGAGGCGAGGGATTGTATAACACAGCCAAGTGATTTATGTGCTTGGCTGTGCAGCTGAACAGCATTAGGGTCTCTGGTCTTTTTACCTTCAGTATAGGAAAGCACCTTTGAAAATTCAAGGTAATGTTGACTTGTTACCTCTGCCCTCTGAATTTATCCTGCAGCTGCTTGAAAACGCGTTTCCTATTGCTTTGCATGCTGTGTGGGGTTGTGTCAGCCTTTCTTTTGATATGCCTTTTGTTCTTGGTATCTTATCTCCACTGCCATAGCTAACGTTAAATCCATGGACCAGAGATCTTCCAGGGGAAGCGAAGATCCTTCTTGGTAGATCGGGCTTCTCTTAGGGGTGGAGCAGTGTTGATGTGAAGGAAGTAAGGGAATAAAACCTTAAGACTGGAAGTCAGTGAAGATAAACAGATTTATAGCCATCATATGGCCAAGTCCAGCTGGTTTCAGTTCAGTGTCTAAAAACTGGTGTCCGTTTACCTGTGTCTGATGCAATGAGGAGCTGAGTTACAGCACAGCTGTGAAAACAGCATCGGGTTTTCTCTCCTCTTGCTAATGCAGCTGGTTTAGAATGAGTTCAGATGTGGTTGGAGACTCAAAGCAGAACATCCCTTGTGGTCTCAACAAACCCAATGCTTACACTGGGGCATAAAAACTCATGGAAGGGCAAGAGGGGCTGAGAAATAGTTCAGAAACAGCTGCTAGCCTGGATTTTGTCCTGGTTTGCATTACTTAGAAAGGTAACTATTTGAACAAGTGCAGATTAACAAATAGAGGAGGAAAGTGGAAAGTTTTACAGGTCAGAGCTTCCACCTGTGTGTGTGTTTTTTGTCTTCTTGGCGAGCGCCTGCCTCATGCTGGAGCCTCTCAGCCTTGAAATGCAAAGCTAGTCTGAATTCTCCTGGGGTGCCCAGGTAGCACGTACTGCTGAAACTGAATTAGCAGTATTTACCACCCTGGCAGGGTTGCAGTGTAAATGATGCTTAGTCTCACTGAGAAGTGTGGTGTCAAGTTTAAGGAATTATAATTGTAACTGGCGATGTGTTGGGAGAGTGTGCTTCCACCTCTGCGGGTTCTATTCCACTCCGGCCTCACTGAGGTCCTTCCCCTGGGCGTAGTAACTTGTCCATGTTCCTGTGGCTCTGGGACATGGCTCTGGGATGTCCCTTGTGAACCTACAAGGGGTCGCTGGCAGAGAGGGCTCCAGTTGCACGCTGTTGTTGACTGATACCTCGTGTTCGTTTTCCAGCTGCTCATGCTCCTTGGCACCGCTGATGGTCAGTCGAAGCTGACCTCCGAGCAGAATGCCATCAGCCTCTTCCCTGGCAAGTACCGCCACCTCGACCGTGCCACCAACGAAGAGCTGACCTGTGACAAATGTCCCGCAGGAACCTACGTGTCTAAGCACTGCACGAAGAGTACCTTAAGAGAGTGCAGCCCTTGTCCAGATGGGACCTTCACCAAGCATGAGAACGGCATAGAGCGGTGCCACGCTTGTAGGAAACCCTGTGAACTGCCAATGATTGAGAAAACTCATTGTACTGCCTTGACTGACCGCGAGTGCACTTGCCTGTCTGGTACGTTTCAGACGAACGATACCTGCGTCCCTTACACGGTGTGCCCGGTCGGCTGGGGCGTCCGCAAGAAAGGAACCGACACGGAAGACGTGAGGTGCAAGCCGTGCCCTCGTGGTACCTTTTCTGATGTGCCTTCTAGTGTGATGAAGTGCAAACCATACACTGACTGCTTTGGGAAAAACATGGTGGTCATCAAGCCGGGGACGAAGGAGAGCGACAACGTCTGTGGTTCTCCGGCGTCTCTTCCGAACATGTCTTTGACTTCGTCGAGCACCGAAGCGGGTGAGCAGCCCTATGAAGTTCCACCAACCGCTGATCTTCCCAAAGGTAACGTCCACCACGTAAACACAGATGTGGGTTTGGTTGTGGGACTGTGTTCCTGCCTCAGTCAGGGCTAGTTTTAGGCTGTCAAAAAACCAACCTGGTCTAAAGCCAGGGTGGTGCTTTTGCTTCTTGACCAGAAGGCAGCTGCAGAGTACATTGGGTTGCCCTCACTTATATTAAGCCACGTTTAATAACATTTTCAGCGAGACTGCAGTCATGATCAGACTCTTGGCTGTCCTGCTGTTTGGGCTGAAAGGGCATCACGCTCCCCAGCCTCTTTCCTCATCTCTGTGATGCGCTGGCACAAGTCGTTGTGCAGTTGTGGTGAACCTGAGTTGGGATGCAGCAGGAAAGGCCCTGCTGCAGTCTCCCTGCAGCAGGGAGGCTCCTGTTCTGAGGGATTCATTGCTTTCATGCCTGTGCTTTCCTTGCTGTGTTTCACTCTGTTCTCAGCCAGATTATTGGTTGAATGGGAACCATTGCTGGAACAGCCTTGCAGGAGCCTGGGCTGTCCTGTAACTTGACTTTATTCAATCTCTTAAGATTTCCACAAGTTACCAACAGTGGGGAGAACCAGGTGGAATTACCCATTCTCTTGCTTAATTGGGAGTGGTTCATCATCACAGTCTTTATAATGATGTGGCTGGTTTTGGGGCTGCTGCTGTAGGACCCCACTCGAGGTGGCACTCTGCACTCTCTGGGAAGCAGCTTCCCTACAGTATCTCATATTGATCATTTTAAATAAAAAATACAACCTTTGGTAACCTTAACACGTGAGCTGGTAAATATAATTGCAGGGAAGTATTGACACTGGTAGGCTTCCAATGCTTCACCTTTGTTAGGTCTCGAAGTTTTCTCTGACATTGTTTTATCATTGGGAGAGGACAGTGGTTCCTGAACTTTGAAACCAACTGCATACAATTACGTAAAAGTTAAAGGGTTTTCCCTGTTTGTATCCTGGTCAGAGTGTTTTGGGTAACCAAGTCAGGGGCAAAACCAGGTTACAAATGGTTACACCCACTCTCTGTCTCATGTGGTATGAGACACGATCTTTAAAAGATGAGTTCCTGAAATAAGCTGTAGTTTTTGCCACAACAGCCCTTCTTCCTCTTCTCGCCAGGCTTTGGTGGTGCAACTGGCGGGGACCTGAGAGCTATTGGTTGATAAGGAAGCTCAGTAAAGATGGAAGGTAGCTCTTAGGGCGAGGTTTGGTTGCTTCAGAAAGCTGTTTTGTAGTTGATGCGTCTGCAAGTGCTTGTAAAAAGTTTATGTGATAAAAAGTTTATGTGTCCTTAACAAAACCCAGTGGAGAGATACTAAGCCTACATATTGTCATGTATTTTTGTACTATTAACCCAAATATGAAATTCCACAACTGAACTAAAACTAATTTTTGTGAACTTAAGAAAGAAAAATCAACTTGCTCAAAGTTGGGCGTTTTCTGAGAAATCCTGAATATGGGACAAACACAGATTGACAACATGCCTGTAATAACTCATTTTTTTTTAATAAGCTGCCACTAGCCTTAACCACCAAGGGTCAGTTTTACCTCGAGCCTCCCTCTGTAACCGTACCCACCTGTTCCCAGAGACAAACCTCAACTTCACCTCTACTCTTTCTCGCTGCCTGGCGTTGGGTTTCTGCCTGCTGGCCAAGCAGGGTCTTAGACCTGCCATATCACGTCTCCGGTGCTGTGACACTGAACTCTCCTCTCCTTTCGCAGGTCTGAACTCTTCAGTTCCCGATTTTGTCCCCTCTCCAGCGCTGCGCGCGTCCAGCAGCATGGTGGAGCCGGCACGCTACGACAACGAGACCTCGGCCAACGGGACCGGACGGCGCCGGCAGGGCCCTCGTGGGCTCTGGCACCACCAGCCAGGCACAGAGCTACCGGCACAAGCAGACCAGCCAAGCGCTGGAGAAGCAGCCGTCGCTGGAGATGATGGGGGGGGAGAAGTCCAGCATCCCGTACAGGCCCCCCAGGCGAGGTTCGCAGAACGTCCACCAGCACTTCGACATCAACGAACACTTGCCGTGGATGATCGTCCTCTTCCTGCTGCTGGTCCTGGTGGTGATCGTCGTCTGCAGCGTCAGGAAGAGCTCACGGACTCTGAAGAAAGGGCCCAGGCAAGATCCCAGTGCCATTGTGGAAAAAGCTATTATGAAAAAGTCCACCACCCCCACGCAGAACAGGGAGAAGTGGATCTATTACTGCAACGGGCACGGTGAGCAGTAGTGACTGGGCTTTGGAGGGGCTGCCCCCACATCCAGTGATGGCTTTTCTAACTTTCTGGGTCTTGTAGTGAGGACAGAGCTCATACAGTGGCTCCTCAGATGTTTCTTCATCCTTGGCTTCTCGTCCTTCCAGTTCCCGTGGTGTGTCCCTGCTCCTGGAGGAAGGGTTAATGGAGGGAATGCCACCTGCTCGCTCCACCTCCTCTCCTTCTTCCCATCCATCCTTGGTAGAAGGATCTTGAGTGAAGGCACCTGTTTTTTTCCCTTTCCACTTTTCTTCTGTGTTACACTGTCCTAATTTTCTCGGTGACTCAGGGTCTGGTTATCTTTCGTGTTGTCCTTTTGCCCTCACCCCATCAGTTTCTGGGAGGCTGAGTCATCCCCCGCCTCTTGGCAGTGCTTCAATTTCAGGTTCTTAGCCCTAAATCCCAGCTTCTGGCTTGTGTCCCCAGCCCTTTGCCCATGCTGGAGCAGGAAGGTTGTCCTTAAAGGCTGTGTCGTGGACGAGTACAGCTCCACGAGTGTTGTCAGGTCTGCCTGGCCACTGTTTTTGGTAGTGTTTTCTGTTCATTTAGTGGATGATTTGCCGTCAACTTCCTGATGAGACTTTAAAGATGACATGTTGTGATCATTAAATTGAAATCAGTGATAAATTAATGGTGGCATGACTGTGAGCACTGAGCAGAGTGCTTGGTTCTTCCTCTACAGAGCTACAGTGGCAGTTTTGACCCCTCCTTGTCCTGTGCAGACAGCACTGACAAGTCCTTAGTCTGAGCTGACTTTGCTCAACCTTAAACATCCGTTCACAGTTAACCTTTAGAAAAGCACATTTAACAAGGAGGGGGGAGGGCAAACAAATAATGGATTGAACAGAGATTAGAAGGTTTAAGAGAGATCAGTCCTTGATGAAAAGTCATCCTTGAGTGCTCAAGTACAAAGCAAAGAAGGTTTTGAATAGGGCGTCTTCTGTCGTGTACTCTCTTCACCTTCCTGCTGATTAATAGACCTACACTTTGTTTGCCTTCATTAATGCATTTATAGAACCAGTAAGGTCTTGTTGGAATTAGTTTTCTGCTTTCTCTTGTATTTGTGTTGCTTATCAGTTTCCTTTTAACTCTTTCGAGTTCTGGGGCTGCAGTTTCTTAAGCTTTTTTCTGTTTGTGATAACTTTTTCCCATTTGTAATAACTTTTTTCCATAACCCCTGCACTCCATTGTCCCTAAAATCTGTGGTACCTGAAGCATGGTCCTTGAGGCTGTGGTGAATGATCTGCTATGAAGTTGCAGAGCTTCATTAGACATCCTTATTTGTGGATGCTAGCAGAAATACCACATCTTTGGCCACGATTCATCAGCCAAAAGCACGTGGTTGTTACTAAACTGTAGTAACTCTTTCCCCCAAGACTGTAATTACCAGTTGGTTGAATTTCTGACACTGTCCTGTTTTCTGAAGCATCTTGGAGCGGGGTCTGAGTCTGTACAGGACAGGGAGTGATTGAGGCGGGGACCAGACCAAGTTGGATGCAGTGGATGCAGTTCTAGATTCTAACCCGCTGTTTCAGACCCTGTGCCAAAATGTCTGTACTGCAGGTGGTCCTTCTGGAAACCTACACATTAGAGCTGCCTTTGTGGGCACTGCTGTGTGTTTAGTCTCCAGGCATGATTCACATTAAAGAAACTATGCAGATAAGAGGTTTATGTGGTGAGCAATGAGGCTGTATTTAGGTATAACCCTAAATATTTAGGTCATAACCTCACTTCCCAGGTCTTGTCATCCTTGGGGGGACAGCATCATTCATGGGTCATCCTGTGCTTCCCAGGATGAGTTGTTCCAGTCTTCTCTGTCATCCATTAACAGCTGAATTCAGCTAGTGCATCAATTTTGCAAGATTTCCAGACTGGGAAATAATCTGAATGTAATAGCAAAACCACTCTTAGGTGATAAACCAGCCTAGTTTGAGTCTGGAGGTGAATTACCCCGTTACTCCCAGTCATTCTTGCAATAGTCACGCTGGTTCCCCCTTGGCACAAGTGGCTTCGTGACTTCCTCCTGCCCAATGTCCTCAGCTGAACTTTGTGCAATCAAGGCAAACAGATGAGTGCAAAACAGTTAATGCTTTGTCTTGCTTTTAGTGCAAACTAAATACTGTTACATTAGCTGGAAGGGCCTTGCTCATTAGTTCTTGCTTGGTGGTGCTGCTCTGTCATGTCAGATACGGAAATTGTTCTCATTATTCTCCTCTGCAGCAGTGAATAAATTCCTCTTTGCTTTTCCAGTTGGAACGTCTGGCTCTTAAGGCTGTTTACTTGACAGGAGAGGTGTAGTGCCATAAAGGAATTGACCTTTCATTTAATAACTGGCCGTACAGCTGAGATGAACTGCAGAGCTGCCGTGTCATGGCTTAGCTTTCTGCTGCTCCAGCAGTGTTTTTACCAAATAATGCTTCGTCCTGAAGCAGCATTTCGGACAGGGGTGAGTACAGCCAGGGCTAAACTTCAGGCTGTTGCAGAGAGGATATCTTTCCCCTCCTGTGCTGCTGTGTAGATCCCTCTATGCTAGGAGCCAGAGCAAAGCCTCCTTAGATGTGAGGACCACAGCTGCTCCCCAGGTGCCAGCCTGGTTTGTGGTTGCACTGAGGGTGTGGGGAGCAAGCAGTCAGGTTTTAAATTATGTTCTGTGGCTGGGGGTGAAGCCCCTGGGCTGGGTGCAGGCAGTGTACCCACATCCCTATGACCTCCCCACCTGTAAGTTGGCCGCACACCAGCGAGGGGTTGGGGTGTGTTTATTGCCTGTTTACGTAGCTGTTGCAAATAGTCTCCCCCAACTTTTTCCTAGTTTACTGTCTCCTCCCTCGTAATCCTTTCAGTAAACAGCTTTAACCTTTGAAAGGAAAGTCCGGGTCTGACGTAGGCTCTGGAGCCTCTCCTGGAGGAGCTGTGCTTGGGCACCTGCCCTCACACTGGCAGCCGCCCGAGCCTCCTGTGGCACCAGGAGGGCATCCAAGGCCTTGGCCGTTTGGAGGATTTTATTACTGGTTGCTTCAAGGCCATGGGTGCTGGGTGAAGCACAGTCAGGGTGGCAGCAGCACTGCTCTGTGCTGGAGCAAAGACGTCTCACTGTGCTTGGGCTCCTTGCCAAAAGAGGAGGATTTTAGGGTGGAAGCAGGGGCTCGAGCTCTTCCCAGTTCCTGAAGGCACTTGATTCCTGAATCTGAATTGTTTAAATAACTGAGATAGGTTTGCTATCCTGGTCAGCAGTTGTCTCTGGGTGTTTCACTTGTCCTCATCTCCTCGTGAGCTGGTATCTGTGCCCCATCCTCTCTCTGGCATAATACAGGCCTTAAATAACAGCCCAAACATAAAAATAGAAGTAGCTTGGGAGGCTGGTGTTAAAACTAGACCCATGTCCTTAACATGGATATGTTCCAGCCAAGGCAGCAAATGCCAAGGATTCTCACTGGATTAAATGGTTCAGAGGTCTGGGAAGAGCTTGCAATGAGTAGTGGCCTGAGATAGCAGCCAGCCTACCTCCACATCTGTCCTCGTGTCCACCCACACAACAGGGGCTCTTCCCAGAGCCCTGAGGTCTTGTCTACAGGGGATTGAGAAGGTAAAGCAGTGCCAGCAGTACAGCTGTGGCTGGCGAAGCTGGACCTCTTGCTGCTTCATCTGGCTCTTTGCAGCCCTGCAGGTGGGAATCTGAAGGAGAAAAACAGTTTGCCAGAGATTTCCCAAGAAATTATCCATGTGGTGCCTGAGTGATGTGGGTACTGGGCTGATAGGGCTCTGTGGTTTAACCTTGTGGAACTTCTTTCTTTTAGAAGATCAAGAGCAGCCTACACACTGGACTTGCTTGTAAATAATCCCTTTATTTTAGCAAATACCCATTTCCTTTCCTAAGATGTTTTCAGAGGCAAGGAATTGAGCTTGGCAGAAACCTTTCAATAAAAACTGAGAATTGAAGCCTGTCTGTCAAATGTCATGGAAATGCCAAATTTGCCATCACTCTATGCCAAACATGAAGATGGGCTTGAATTCTTCTTGCAGAATTTGCTGATAGTGTTGCCTTTGATTTTCACACATTTAATAGCAGCAGATGAAACACAAAGACTGTAAAATGTTAGGGTAAAACCTGTGTATAGAAGCAGCTTCCTGAATTGATATGCCAAGAGGCAAGAAAAGAGTTTGGTGATTTTTGTTTTTTTGGAGTCAAAAGACCAGAGAAACAGATCTTGGCAGTGCTGGCCTGGCATGAGATGCCACTTCCCTTTTATTTTTCTTCAAGTCTTGTAATTGCACATTATTGCAGTGGGTGGTGAGAGCAAGGCCAGGAAGCCTCTGGTTAAGTAACCAGAGAAATTAACTGTTCTGCAAAAGCTGCTTGCAGCTGGGATGGAGCTGAGGCTTGACTGCAGGTAGACGTTCTGTGCTGAAAATGGCTCAAGATCAAAGTGGGGAGTTGAGGAATAGTCCTTGGCTTGCATATTGCTTGCTGAGGGACCAGGGCTAGTCTTGAGCTTGATCTGCTTCCAAGGAAGACACTGAGGTTGTTAAAGAGAAACCACACTTTGGGGAGCCTGATGTTGTACTGCAGCTCCAAAGCATCCCCAGGTGAAAATAACCAATGGGAGTGTGGGCAGTATGTATGGGGACAGCTGGGTCACTGCAGGTTTGCCCTCACGTGGGATCAGGTACTCATGGTTAGTGTTGGAAGATGCCTGTTGGAGTAAAATTACTTGATTCTTTTCAAGAGACAGCACTTTAAGGTTATGCGTGGGCTTTTTAAGTCACTCTTTTCTATAGGTCCATCCTTGATGAAGGGAAGTAAGTGCATGGAAACAACTTAGCTGAGGATGTCATTCCTCAAGGCTATTTAACTGCTGCCCTAACTAAGGAAACCCAGCTGCAGGGTTGGCACTCGCAGGTCTCCGTGGTGACTGGGTGCTACTTTAGAACCCCTCCTTCGTGCTTGTGTGGGTAAATGAGCCACT